AAATTGTAAAGACTAAATGTAATAATTTAGTAAATATGAGATGGTTAAAAGTGTGAACAATTTAAAATTATATTAAATTTAACGCAACAGTTATAAAACGTTCTTTGTTAATGAATAATCAAGAGAACTGGTGAAAAAAAAAATGCGTTGAGACGTGTCACAATATACAGAGCACTCTGATAATGCGTTTGTCAGCCTACTCGATGTGAATTAAAATAAATCTCTTCTCCGCGCCGTCTTCTTCGAGTAGATTTCCTAGACAAAACTTAAAAATAACCGGAGAGAGAAGAAAAAATAATAATACATTATGTACACTTAAGCAGAAGAGAAACAATAACACAGTAAGCGTAAACAAAAAAACAAAAGACGTGCTCTTCTGTCAAATGATTATGCGACGCGCGTGGATTTCGTTGCTCAAAATTCCCGCCGAAAGGAATTCAAGAATTTCTTTTGTTAAATTATCAATTATTTTGTAATTTTAGTACAATTTTAGTGAGGTCATGTAAATCTGCATAAAATATTAAAAGTTAGAATCTCAAATTTCTGAATTTAATATATTTCCATTGCTTAACTATTTGTTAAGTACTATTTTTTTTAATCCACTTAACGCTAACATTAACAGACATTACGTACACTTAACCAACAGAAACAACAACACCGTAAACGTAAACTAAAAACAAAAGACGTGCTCTTCTGTCAAATGATTATGCGACGCGCGTGGATTTCGTTACTCAAAATTCCCGCCGAAAGGAATTCAAAAATATCTTTTGTTAAATTATCAATTATTTTGTAATTTTAGTGAGGTCATGTAAATCTGCAAAAAAAAATTAAAAGTTAGAATCTCAAATTTTTAAATCACCTAATCTAATATATTTCCATTGCTTAACTATTTGTTAAGTTCTATTTTTTGTTAATCCACTTAACGTTAACATTAACAGACATTACGTACACCAACAGAAACAACAACACCGTAAAGGTAAACAAAAAACAAAAGACGTGCTCTTCTGTCAAATGATTATGCAACGTGTGTGGATTTCGTTATTCAAAATTCCCGCCGAAAATAACTGAAGATTTTCTTTTGTTCTTTTTTTCCACCTCTAAATGCTTAGAATAATTTTGTTATTCATATAAATCTGCAAAATCTGTTAAAACTGAATCACCTAACCTGATATATTCCATTGCTTAACTATTTATTGATCAATCAAACGTTAAGTACTCATTCTTCTTATCGATCCACTTAACGCCAACATTAACAGATTGTTAAGTACTAGAGAGAGAAAGAGCGAAAGTCTAAAAATAAATTGAAACATTTGGGTTCAACGAATGAATTTCGTATTCAATTATTCAATTTTAAAACCAATTAAAGATCTTTATATAATTTATGTTTCTCATTTTTCGTAATTATTTTTTTTTTTGTTACTTCCAAACATTTATCATATATTTGGATTTAAATTTATTCACGTCGAATATGATGAAATCGCGTGTACGGACTAGACTTTCGAATATAATCTCTGAGCGTTTTCTTTCCTTTTTCTGTTCTTTTTGAGACTTAAAGAAAAAAATGAATTGAGAGAAAATCCGTTTGTATGTGCGAGAAGAAACGCACTTTTTGGATAATTCATTTCGTTTTGAGCGCATTTCGTATTCATGGCTCGTCGGACGCAAGGAAGTAGCGGATCAACGACGTGTCCTCTTCTTATCCTCTTCACGCTGCAATCGACCAAAAATTTCTTCTTCCGTTTACGATTAAACACAACTAAAATTCACAAGATTCTTAACTTATTCGTTCATACTCATAATTCTACATATTTAAAAACATCTTAATGTTGAATTCTGATTTACTTTTAGATAGAAAAATATGTAATATGTAAGAGTTTTATTATAAATATACACAATGTAGAACAAGAAAAATGATTGTTTTCGATCTTGCCGCGTTTCTTTCTAACAATTTAAAAGACATTAAGTCTATTGTAATTGCAAACAAACCTTGAGTAAAAGACATTATGCAAGTATTTACAAGCGATGCATATTTGATTGAGTTTTACAAAGATGAATTACGTAATTTATAAATTAAATCATGTTTTCATATTGGAAGAAAAAGAACATTCATATCTAAATTGTAAACTAAATAAGTTTAATAATTATGTTCAGTTTTAATTTCAACTATTTTACCTTCAAAATAAATATACTTTTATAACAATAAACTAAAATTATAACAAATTATCTTTAATATATGTTTTCTTAAGTTTACAAACTGTTAGTTCGAAATATAATTCGTTAGATTTGTTTAGGGAAGAAACCAGATTGAAGACTTGGAGGAAACAGACTTCCTGCTAATACTAAATTCGTCCACTAAAATAATCTTTAATGATATCCACTCGTTTCTTGCCTCGAAATTCAATTAATGAACATTTGGATGGACCAACGATTCTCGCTCTGCCATCGTCAATGAAGAGAGTTCCTCAACCGGTTCGCGTGGTCAAGAGATATTCTCAGTTGCTCCACTTTGCATCGATGAAGACCACGAAGTGAAGAGATCCACGCGAACCGATAGTTTGCGGAGGTGAAAAAAGCGCACGGAAATCGATCAAAAACCGATTTTCTTACTACAAAGGGTAAAAGAAGAAAAAAAAAACGGTCATCTGCTTTCGCATGATTATTAGATCGATCAACAAAAGAGAACAGGAAAGATTGTACAGTTTTGGCGACCGAAAGAAACTCGTTTCTTTCGCGTTTCTCTCCTTTTGGTTCTCTCGCTATATCGATTATTTAAAAACCCACATTCGTAGCTGATTATGTGCCGCGGACATTATGCAATAATCGGACAAAACTGGTTTTGCGGTTCGGCGGTTGGTTGGCTGGAGATCTTTCGAAAAAGAACTTTTTCGTTCGATTCGAATTCGAATCTTCGATTTACCTGGGCCATCATCCAAATTTTGTCAACTTCGCTTCCAACAGTATCCTCGGTGTGTGTTGTTGTGGTAAAAGTTAAGACACACGCGCACTTGGGGTGGTAAATGCAGACAGGTAGATGAGGAGGGAGAAAACAAACACACACTCTTCCGTTTGAAGCACACGCACTTTCCGAGCGAACACACTCTGTCTGTTGTTGAGTCGTTGTGGTCGAGAAGCTGAAGAAGGATGTGAGAATGGTTGAAGTGGATGGAGGTGGATCGCACGTGAACCGCGGCTAAAGCCAGACAAAGGTAAACTGAGCGAGCGAAGACCGCGCGGCGTTCACGCAAACCTCTGGTGGACGCACAAGAACTGAGGCCCGAGGAGACTAGACTCGCGATTGGCGCTCGGCGTTGCGACGCTGCACGTTCATTGGTCAGTTCGAAAGCAGTTCGTGCACCCTTCGTCCGACCAGACGGAATTCCATCAATTACTTATTACCCGCAAAACGCGCACACGTTCACGACACGCAATGGAAAGAGCTAATTCATTATTTAACCCAACTTTCGAATTACTTTACATTACTTTTTTTTTCCATCCTTCTGCTAAAGCAACTTTATACATTAAATTTGCAATGTAATCATAAACGAATTTTCATGAAAATAATTCAAACTTTTATTCGGAAAAATTTACTTTAAAACATTTATAATTTTCGAACTTTCAGTTTCTTGTTGTTCTTCTATAAGCCTCATTTTCCAATTAACACTTCAACTATATGTTCTAAAACGAATATTTCAATGATGTTTCTTTGAAAATTTATTTAAAATTTCATTGAATTATTTAGTTTTTTTTTATTGTTATTTTGTTTAGAGAAATCGAATCGCAAATAAAGAAATTGACGTAAAATCTGTAGAGAATTTCAAATTATTTGAATTTTTTAACTAATCATCATTGAAAATCACATCAAAATGAAATTTTAGAAGGTAACAAATTATTTGTTTGTGAAATATACAGTAAGTTTTCTAATAAAATTGTTTATCTAAGTAAAAATGATTTTGAATAAATTTAAAAACTAATGAATTTAGAGATATAATAAATTGACGTAAGATCTGTAGAGAATTTCAAATTATTTGAATTTTTCAACTAATTATCATTGAAAATCACATCAAAATGAAATTTTAGAATGGTAACAAATTATTTGTTTGTGAAATTTACAGTAAGTTTTCTAATAAAATTGTTTATCTAAGTAAAAATGATTTTGAATAAATTTAAAAACTAATGAATTTAGAGATATAATGAATAATTGTAAATTTCTAAAATTGTATAAAAAATAGTAAAAGTCGTTGAAAAATCTGATTTCAAGTAACTGAAGAAAACTGTATTATTGAAAAGATCTTTTCAGGATTAAATATTTGGATTAGGATGTGTTTGTACTTTTATTATCAGGAACAAATGTAAATATTTGGCGATTTGGGTGCGATCTGTGGATTCTGAATAAAATCTCTTGCAAATTCATAAAAAAATAATCATTTTGAATATGCGGAAAAGTTTATCTTAAGCAAATCCGCAACAAGAATCTTATCTAATCCTGATTCACAGAAGAACATCACACGCTCTAAAATCAATATAATTTGAATTCATCCATACATTAAAAAAGCAATATATTCATACTAATGAAGGATAAAGAAAAAACACAGTAAAATCACTCGGAATATTGACGCCACATAAATTATTATAAAAGCATTTCAGAGTTCAAAGCGAATTCGAATCCGTCAAAGTGCAAAACTCTTTCCTTGCATACATTCACAGTGATAATCACTGCAAAACCGTGCAATGGCTTCAGTTGCGGCATCGATTTAACATCGGCTTTCCGTAATTCCATATCGCCTCCAGTGAAATAGAATGTGCGGAAACGCACGCTAATTACGTTTCGGATAGAAAAAATAACGACAGTTTCATTATTTATTTTGTATTTCGACAGTATCAAAAATACACAGCCTTCACATATTTATTTATGTATATATATATGTTTGTTTCTATATAAATAATTTAAGAATTAACGAGTAAAACGATAATAATATTATATATAAGAGATTTAGAGAGAACGTAAAATAAAATTACAATAAAAAAAAACAGGGATTTTGCTGCGAACGCAGCGAATAAGTAAGTATACACGTGGAGAAATAGTCCGTGTAACAATATTATTTGGTTAAAGATCAATAAACGTGTATAGTCTACAAGTGGAGTATTTCGTGGACTAAATCGTATAGCTTTCGTTAACTGTACATCAAAAAATAAATATAAAAATAGTAAAATAACCATTGATAGCTTAAACAATATTAATAGTGCTATGGGTTTAGTGCAGCGTTAACCTAAGCCTAAGACGTATTTGGGGATTTGTATCGTCAGCCTCGGAATGGACCACAGCATAGACATTCTAAAACAGATGCGAAATAATGTAAGGAAATCTTTGTGTAAATATTATGAGAAACATGTCGGTAGTAGTGAAAAATGAGAGGTTGACGTTCTGAAGAATTTGAGAAATTACAGAAGTGCTACTTACCTCGAGGCAAACGTAATCAAAAAAACTTTGACGTTTTTCGTTCTCTCGCTTAAAAAACCATCACCATTTTAAACCATACTATAAGAAACCATAAACAAAACAAAAATAGAGAATTAAATCATATGTACAAATGTATTTGCTTAAAGAGTATAGATTAGGTAATTAGAAAAAGAGATCCCAAGTTCTATAATAACAAGAAAGACACAGAGTTAGAGGAATTAATTAGAGTTGTTGTTGTTTAATTGTTGTTGAGATATACTTACGAGACGGTGATGGTGTTGTAGATCCACTGCTTCCACGAGGTGTTCGCGGTGCTGTCGATCCTCGACTCTATGGATTGACAGAGATTCCTGCGATCGTGCGACCTGCCCGATCGCAGATCGCACAAGATCCTCTTCTTGCATTCGGTGTCGCAGAAGGGCCGCACCGGACTCGCCTTGTAGTAGTACTTGTAGAAGAGATCGAAGAGTTGCGGCTCGTTGCTCATCTTCTCGATGAACGCGTCCCAATCGTCGGGTCTCAGGGCTTCCATTCCGAACGCCTGTCTCGCCGTGTACAGTTTGAACCACACCGGAAAACCGTAGATGTTCGCTTCCCGCAAATTCATAGTCCAAGTCTCGTGATCGATCACAGCCTAACAATAACCGCAATTAGTCAATGAATTAGATAACTAACATCATCAAATTACTCTTGTCGATTTTTCGTGATCTCCGTCGACGTAATAGATCCTGTAACCGGGATTCAGATCGTAATAGGGACTCACGGATGGCCCCACGTAAGCCACGCTGATGCTTCTACCTAAAAATAGACGAATTCAAATGTGATCTCATCAATTGATATTTAATGATGAAACTCACTCAAATCCTCCTTATCGTAGAAAACTTCGAATTCATCGAAATGCGTGTGTCCGAAGAACTGCGCCGTGACCGTCGATTCGTACCTGCTGATGATGGCGTAATAATTCCTCGACCACACCTTCAAGCAATCCGAGTGACCCGGAGGAATGTGTCCTGAAATACATTTAAAAATTGAATCATCGACGATTAAAGAAAGGAAATCTAACCAATGACGTGGACTTTCTCGCCGTTGAATTCCGCCGATTGCAATTCGTAGATGAACCATTGCAGCTCGGTCGCTGGATCAGTGCTGTTCATCAAGAGCCACCTAATAATACACATATATAAAGAATTGTTTTTTTGCTGAGATTGCATTTAAGTAATTACCAATTTTTGTTGTTGCAGTAATTCATGTTTAAAGAGATGAGACGAAATCCGGGCCGGACTAAGACCGAGTAGAAGGCTCCTCTGCGAACGGTGTTGCTCACTGAACTCGGAAGCCACTTCCTCCACTGCTCGTTCAGCTCTTCGTACAACCAACTGATGTTGTTTTCGGGGCTATCGATGAAAGGTGGCGGAAAGCTAAACATAACTTTAAATATCAATTTTAAATTCTTGTTTTATGCTTTACAATAATACCTGTTGACTGGAGCGGATTCGTGGTTACCGAGAGCCGGGAATATGGGAATTCCCGGAAACATGTCGGACATCTGAAGGACCGTTTCCTTGAGAATCTTCAGGTTCTCCTCCCTGGTCTGATTCCAAACGTCGTGCGGCGGTAAATCGCCCGTCCAAAGAATGTAATCTATATCCTACACGAATTCCAACATTAATTTTCATCGCATTAAGCGGTTATGGTTCATAACTCACGGTATGTGTTTCCGAGATGTGTTTCAGCATGTTATCGATGGTGATCTTAGGCGTGTCGCACTTCCTGTAATCGCCCCACCTGCGCAAGAGTGGAATTAGAGTGATTAGGTAATCTAGTTAGTGATCCAACTCACTTTCCGGCCGCCTGTTCTTTGGTTGCGGGATGACCGTTCGTCAATCTGCAGCACAGAGGTTCGTTGCAATCGGCGTTGCTTCCCTCCATGTAGTACGGATCGTAGTGGGTGTCGGAGAGGTGAAGAACTTTGAAAGAAGGCGCCGTCACTTCCGGAATCCTCTGCGCCTTGATTTCCGGTTTCGCGACCGGTGGAAACATGACTTGCCACTCGTGGTAAGGATTGTAGACGTCGCCGCAAGCGTCGCCGATGATCACGCTGCATATCTCTTCGGGACTTGAATCGATTTTCCTTAAAACGTAGATGACCTCACCGGAGAAGAGCTCGGTGATGCCCTCGCACACCCTCGCCGATTGTATCTTCAGACTGACGCAGAACTGATTGATCATCTTCTTGATCTCCTTATCGGTTTTCCCCGTTCTGATGTAATGCTGCAGCAGACCAGCGCCTGAAAACATCCGGTTTCCGGTTTTGAGTACAGAGAAATCTTAACAATTCTAATTATTCACCTGCTTTGCACGCAGTGCATGAGACCTTGGACAGCAACGAATTCTCGATTTCGAACGCCACCTGTTTCAAATTCAACAGCTGTAGGGCTTTATCTACTATCTTCGGTAGATGCGTCGAGTCCTCGCGTTCCCACAGCAGTCTCCCCTTTTTTTTATTTGAAATCAAAAGAAACGAATATTAAAGAAACTCCCTTAAAGAAACACACAATGAAAGCGATGTGCGGATATGCGAATGGACGAAACCTGTAGTAAAATTACGTACTTACAGTGGGTGAAACTTTCGCCGGTTCAGGCTTCTGGTGTTTTCTGACCCTGTCGTCCAAAATCGGTTTCGTGTTCGATGGTAATCGATAGTTCCAATTGCTGATGTTGAAATCGTCTTTGTTTGTTGCGTCTATCATCATCGGTGCACCTGCAATCAAAATCAAAGTCAAACAATTCGTATTGTTCAAAATAAATATAGAAATGAATATACCTTGAGCGTATATTATCGCCTGGCAAATCCATGTTAGGGCTAGTATATATTTCATAATCTGCAACAAAAAGAAACAACACATATTTATAAAGAATTCTCTTTACATTCTAAATAAATAGGACAAATAATATTAAGCACTCAATCAATTTTGAAGAAATAATAAATGTCTCAAAATCAGTGTTTTTATGATATACTGCATTACTCAATGAATAAAAAAGAATACAAACAGTATTGAGTATTCAAAACGTTTAAAAAGAAATATTAACTACTTGTATTTATATTTTACTTAATTACTGGACAATTAAAAAGAGCGCAATTATTATTGAGCACTCAAATGAAACCTAAAACTATAATAAATGCTTTCATTTAACTCATGTAGTTCTCTTGAAATCAGCTTGAACTTTTGAAATATTAATACGCGTCTTTTTTTTTGTGATAAATCTGTTTAATAAGAGTGAACGGAATATTGAAAGAGGAAGTGGCTGACGTAAATGTCCCAAACAAACAACAAATATTTACACGAAAGGCGCCGTGTCTAAACAAACCCAGACACAAATCCACTTAAATAAAATTCAACATTAATCATTCTAATCAACTAAAACAATTCCGTCTGCTAAGATATGATTTTAATCTTAAATTAAAGTGTAGTTTTTATTACAATTTCTGATATTTTAATTAACGTGGAGCGAGGAGAAAGTACGCAAACTCAGCCTTCGCTAAATTATAGCTCGGACAGTCCACATGGGAAATACGTGTGCTACAATTACGCGTAATTCTATAATTACGAATTCATTTTATTTTTAAAAGTTTAATGAACATGAGCGATCGCAACGCTAAAACGTCGGAACTTCAATGTTGCGTGCTTGGTTGTGAGATGGCGTTGGGTGTCATCAAATACCATTAAAGATAATTTGTGTGCTGCCGTGTGGTTTTGGTTGCCTATATCATAAATATCTGATACGAAAGGTCGTTGGTTCGATTCCCAAAAAAAACAACAAAAATTTATGGTTACTGTTAAAAGGGGTAGAAAAGATTTTATTAATATAAATAAATTGATATAAATAATTTAAAAATAAAAATAATAATAATTTGCGTGCTTTATAATGTAAATAAATAACTTTGAGACTATTGAATTTAAATAATAAAAACAATTGATTGAAGAAATTATAATTAAATTGAATTTAGTTTAATGCGCATTCCGTTTGTGCGTGGTGGCGCTAGTGTGCGATTATTTCGCGCGTAGAAATTGTAAATAGACGTAGTTATTAATAATTGTTAAGACAACAGATCTGTTTAATATACAACGCATATAGATTCATAGAAGTGTACTAGTGCGGAGATACATTAGAAGATTATCCTAAGTGCTAAACAGCAGATGCAGCAGCACTCTTTGTGCAATTGTCAGAATGAGATCACAATTGATTCGAACGCAGTAATAAACCTTGCAGATTACGAGAATTAATTAAAGTGAAACACATGTGCGTGTTTTCCTTGACAAATGATTGTCGATCACAATTGTTTATAATTGTCTCTTGTTGCTATGGTTTTATTTACATGTGTGTGCGAGTTAAGTGAAATGGGAAGCAGGCAGAGGCAGTAAGTAATAAAGTTACGAGAACGAGAATGCTATTTGTTTCTTGAGAAAGTGGGCCTTGTTTAATCAGCATTTGTCACATTAACGTTGTGCAGATTCGAGGCCAACCGACCATAAAAATCCGCCAGTAGAGTCGCCAAAGGAAAGCAGCAGCAGCAGCAGAAGAAAGAAAAAATTAGAACTTATTTATTTCTTCATTCGCTATAGTTTCCTTCCACTTCCTTAAGAAACGATTATGAGTCGTCGCTCGATGGAGAAGTCCCTTATAGAAAGTACCATTCACAGGACATTGACATCCATTTCTAGTTTCTCCATTGTATAACACATACATAGAGTGATATATGATTTAAATTACCGGAAACGCAATCATCTATTTTTTTTGTTTGAAAATCCGAAATTTATTGGCAACAGCAGGAAATAATCAATTTGACAAAATACAAAAAACTATAGTTAAATTCATCTTTCTAAATTTTTGATTAATGTTAATAAAATTCTTGAAAACTGAACCGTTCTTTGTGGATGAGGTTCATTGGCCTTTCGTTAATTTATTCTCCAAGTACAACAAACACGGTAAATTTATTATTAATTATGTTTTTTAAAAAGTTACTGTTAAACAACAAATGTATTAACGTTAGTATACACATCGCCTGAAAGAATTGTAAGTTGTTATTTTTTTTTGGTATTCGTCGCTGCTAACGGTTCATTTAATGTCAAGGTTGAAGCGCAGACACAAACCTCATCATCATCATCATCGTCACAGTGGACCAAATAAAGATGGGGAAAAAAAGGAGCACGGCTATCGTTGTTCTCGGAAAAGCGTGGAGCGAAAGTCGTTGCGCAAGTCCGCAATTGCCTATCCGAATCAATTGGAAAATTGGTCTCTCCACCAGAGATGAAGGCAATTGCGTTCAGCGTTTCACGGCCACCGATCTGATCTTCACTAATTCATTCACTCGTTGTTTCGTCTCGGTTACTGGTTTGTGATTCAATTTTAGGAGCGGCCACGCATCCAACACAATACCATTCAAATCGACAAAGAGCATCGACGTTAATTGCTTCGTGCATCAATTACTGAAATTGGTCAACAAAAGGATTTTCGAAAATTACGTAAACTGTAGGAACGGAAAAACTAATTTCGCTTCTTTTGTCCCGCGCACACAATGCGACTGCTATTTTCTTTCACAAGCAAATTGCGAATGCGAATGAGAAAACATTGCAATTGCCGAGAATAGTTTTGAATTAATTGCAAGGTTGTCTACTAAACTCCTACATACTTCACTTCCTGAAAAATTTGTTTCTATACATCAGTAATGAATTTCTCGTTTCTCAATCCCTAGTTAATCTCTATATATAATTAGTTTAATTACAAATACAATTTACAAATTTATTATTAAGAATCTTCACGATTAAACTATAAAAATCCGTGCTTTCTTTTCACGTCTCAACAATGGAAATCGTCTATATTCGTTCAATTATATTAGTTTAGAAAATTATTACAAATTTAATCTAACGATTGTTGGAAACTGTATGATTAAACTTAAAATTTCACGCTTTCTTGTAAGATTTCAGCAACGAGAAAACGTTTTCGCGAATTAGATATTTATTATATTTCCTTTGAGCAAGAACATTGCAAAATGCTGGAGCTAATTACAATATTGGCAAGGTTGTTGCTTTCGTGACACTTTGGGTTCTTTACTTCTCGATTGAATTTACTATGTTTCAATTACATTCGTTATATTAAGACAGTTATAAATTATGGATTTTGTGCGAAAGATTCGGTAGTTGATTATGTAAAATTGATCCGGGTTCAATCAAAAAAAAAATTGGTTATTATTATATAAGCGTGTGCCACTTGCGGTGCGGATGTGGTCCACGAGCGCGCGCATAAATTACCAGAGTTTCTTAACCTTCATCAACACCAGAGGATAACTGTACTTGCACCGAATCACTTAAGATATTCGTCTCGTACCGAAAGTTTCGCGCATAAGTGACATAATGATCTACATTACACCACATCTACGCAACGGAAAAAAAAAAGAAACTCACGCGTGCGTTTCTTCATTTCCTTCTTCTCCTCCTCAACGCACGCATTTTACCAGTATTATTTAGTTTATTTTATTGGACTGCATCGGTCGGAATGCCGCCGACTTTCTACGCGCGTCCGACTCGACGAAATAGTTTCCTTCCTCAAGGTGAACGTTACGACGATCTTTCAGATTTCCTCGTTCCTCTTCCATCATCATCATGATCATCTTCATCCGATAATTAACTAATTAAAAGCAAAAAGTCGAGCCGGGAAAATCTTGCGCCCAATTAATAATACCACCCACTTTCTCCCACGCAATTACCACCCAACGGTGGCGCATTCCGTCGATGCAGCTTTCTACGAAAATGAGGGAAATTCGCGTTTCCTCCTCAGACGGACGCGCTCGCCTTTTGTTCTCCATCGATCCGCGATCGATAGCAAACGAATTTTCTAAATTCCTACTTTCATATCTTCGTAGCACACAGCAAAATTCATAAACGCGCCGCAATTAAACTTTCCTTTGCAAAATTAGTTCACAGAATATAAATAAATGCAATTAGAAGGATTTCACGTTCCACCTTTTTCGGTTTTTTTTTTGCTTGTCCTTCGAAAACATAATCAATAAGGAATTCTTTTCTTTCGTTTCCTAACATGATTCAAGCACGTTTCTATCGAGATCAAACTCCAAATCAATTATCTGCTCGAGTTTCAATAATAGATCATAATAGTTCACTACGCTTCGCTTGTTTACTCATTCAAATTGATCTACATTGAATTTTTTTTTCTGACCCAAGAAAATTGCAAAATGTAAACACTCAAATCATATTCAAATACACAAAAATAAAATGAAAATCAAACAGTTACAGTTGATGAAAATTATTTAAATTAATAGTAATAACGGAATAAGTTATACTTAATGAATCATCATATACTCTCGGGTTTTCTATGAATTACTTTCAAATTTGACTCATATAAAATTGAGAAAAACTTAAGACCTTTTACATAAAATTCGCTTATATACAAATTAAATATACGACATTGAAATGTGTTTACCTTTTTTTTTATACATATAATGCATAAATTTAATTAAAACTTGGGTTAAACCAATTCAAGGAAATTGATAAGATCGAAGTTTACTAATTATTAAAAACAATACATTTTTAAGCGGCGACAAATAAATCGTGCAGCATGTCTCGTTTTCGAGCGTCGACTTCCTCTATTGACATTTTGATTGTGCTTTTGTACGATCGGAGGATTCAGGCCAAATCGAATTAGATATTCGAAAACTGTTCGAAGAAAAAAAAAAAGAGTTACCGTAAGTTCGTAACCCGAATTAGCCAGTCCAGCCCCGTTCTTTTTTTTTTCTTTCTTCACATTACATTACCGACAGCAGGTGAATAACAAATCAGTTCGATCCTCCTTCTTTTCCCTTTTTCCACTGTCACTGCTGCAGAGCACGCGTTCTCCAAACTAACTGTACACGCGAGCCGCAGAAGAATTCCGAGGCGCTAAGCAAAATTTGCATTACACACGCTCACATATCTTCACTGTATTATCTCTGTCTACCGAGTGAAAATGATAAAACCCAAATCAGGAGATGACTTCTGTATCTGTGCTTTAGTTTGTTTTATAAATACGATTTGTGCACTTGCGTTGTTCCACTCGACGGTGGAAATCTTTTCTTTTTATTATTTTTGATTTTGAATAAAGAGAATCGTGTCAAATAGCGTTCTCCGGAGAGAAATCGACTCACCTGAATAGACGAACTAATTAATCCCAATTTTTCTGAAATCTCCTCTCCGTCGTCGCTCCTTTTAATGGTTGTTGCTGCTGCTGCTGCTGATGCGCTCGTCCTCTTCCGATGAAACCAGACACAACAACTCGTTACGCGAGGCGCGAATTAATTTGCATCTGTCTCTCCTCCTGGTTGTTTACGTTCGCCTCCAACGCGTTAAAGAAAGAGTCTGATACAGATGTGATGTTCGCAGGGAGAGTGCATATGTGGAAGAGAGGGAAAATGGATGAAAGAAGGTGTCCGATTTGAAGCAGAGCTGTTAAGCCGAGTCAAACTCGCGAGAGACTAACTTGGAAGAGTCGCGGCTGCAGTAGCGTGAAAGGCGCGCGACTGGTTTGTTATTCTTCGTTTAGTTGTTCTTCGGCTGCGCGACTCAACACGCCGTCGATGGTCCTTCCTATCTGGGTCACACAAACATTCTTCCTACTCTTCTCTTCTCTTTCCTTCCTTCGCTCATTACCCGCTTACAGATTATTTTGTTCACTCTGACCGAACAGAAGATGACCGGACCAGATATTCCGATAACGAACGCCGACGTTCAGACAAATAAACAAAAAAAAATATGACGAAAACTCTTTTTATCTCTGTTTTTCCTTTCGCAGAGGTCAAACTGTAATCGCATATATTTTTTTAAAAACATTTACATCACTTCTAACGCAAATGTTTCGGACATTTGCATCATTTGACACAAGAAGGGAACTTTAAACATTCTCAAAATAACTTCTTAAAACCTTCTTGAAATCTTGTCTTTAAATTCTTCAAACATTTTTCAATAATTTGCTCGATTGAAGCATAAATAAAAACTGTTAGCTCCATAATAATATAATCAGATACAATTAATATCAATTATTAATAAGTCTTTACAAATTTACATTGTTCCATTTACTTTGCAATTCTTTCACATTTTTTTAGATCGCATCTTATGCAACTTGCGGATCTACAAATATAGCACACTTCGTTTTCTTCCTCAAAATTTTGTTTTGACATTCTTAAACTTTCCTTGAATTAGTATATGATCGCGCCTACTTTGATTCTATTTATCCTAATTATTTTAATCGTGTTAAAAGACTTCTTGATCCATATTTAATCAAATTTATAGAACGTTAATCAAGTGTGTGTTTTTCTTGAAAAAAGAAGTAATATCGAGTTTAACAAATGCTAAAGATTTCAAATGCAATAAGTTCATGTTAAATTTGTTTCTACAACCTGAATTTGCGCGAGGTTAAAACTGCAAACATTTATATATAATAAATAGAAATAATTACCAATGGAATCGTCGTAAGAAGACAAAAAAAACCAGCAAATTCAGTCCAATCTTCTGATTTCCAAGCATCTAGAAATAAAAAAAACTAAAAACCAAACGGAATTAATTACATATAACAAAATACAGGGGGAGGGAGATGTATAAGAAAAAAAACCCCAGGCGAATTGTTTTTCAATAATAATTTATTTCACATAAAATACAAAGAATGATCATTTGTAATTAAAATATTAAAGCCCTAACAAAATTATCCAGATAAAAACTAATAGTAAATTCGATTAATGTAAGCAAATATTTGTAATTTTATGAAAATCTCTCGTCCAAAATTTTCGCAAAGACAAAAAAAAATTGAAACGAGAATTAAAGGGGTGTGGGGGGAGAGAGGTGGCAGGGGGGTTGGGTGGAGAGAAAAGAAATGAAACATACATTTCCTCCCCGGCGAGAGGAAAAAAGAGAGAAGGAAATCATAAATCTATACAACAAAACAAGAAAAAATAATAATAATAATAGTAGTAGTAGTAATAAAGAACTAAAAACGATGAGTGTGATATGATCGAAACGTGTGACTACATAGTAAAGACTCGAAAATTAATAATTAAAAAAAAAAAAAACGACAATAGTTATATAATAATAATAAAGAATAAAAATAAATTAAGCGTTAAAGTTTAATACAACGAATGTTAGTTTACCTAAGTAATTGATATTATGTAAGTGTACTATCTTAGTTTATTTATATGATTTTTGTTTTCAAATGTTTATTTTTCTTTTGTTGTTGTTGTTGTTGTTTTTTGCACAAATTGTACTTGCACGGAGCGAATCTGTTTCGACATCGATAAAATACCTATCGTCCTTATTCATTTATATATTTATATATTAATTTAGTTTACGTTTAATAAAAATAATGGCACTTGTTACTTGTTGTTCTTTGTTTCTTCATATCTTTCACAAATTATTTACTTGAATTGTTTTCTTCTTGTATGTATCAATTTTTAATTATATAATAACGCTCCGCGAGTCGAAACGATTCGCGGCAAAACGAAACGAGCAGCAGATTTATATATATATATATTTATATATTTTTTACTTCACTTTGCTAGTGCGCGTTCACATGAAGCGCTCTGATTGTCTTAAAATTAAGAAATAAAAACTATATTAATTCATTTATATTAAATATATTATATATTGTAATTCCATAGATTCTTCCCGATTATCAATTTGTTTCGAATTACTTATTATTTGGACACGACTTTTTTTTTAATCTTTAAAGATTACCACCGATCTGTACGCAACTAACATTACTTATCCGCTATAGATCTCGTCTTAAAACCTAATTAAAACCATGTGCTGTGAAAGTAACCGTTAAATGTAAACAATTAAAACACTAAATCCCAAATATATATAGCTGATCAAATATATACTTTAGTTTCCATTCTTCCGTTAATTAAACACGTAATCATTAATTAATTAATTAATATATATGTAGCTAATCCCGGCGTTTGTATAATTCTCCTATTACCTAAATATTGATTCTCCGATCATGACCCTCTCTCTCTCACTCTTTATTTTTGTTTTTTTCCTTCTGTTATCTTACGATAAGTTCAATTGTTTTATAAAACAAGAAAGAAACTTAAAAAAAAAATTAAATTAAATAAAAATTAGTGATTGCTTTTTTCTAGCACTCGACCGAATTTGAAAACAAATGAAAATTTATTGAGGAAAAGTAAATAATATTTAAGAGCTACACCGAACACCTCCGCCCTTCCAACGCGGGTCGCGTTTGTTCATTTGGAGATGGGGGGGAAAAAAAAGAAAAGCGCGCAGAGAATGCGAGTAATCGATAAAACGTAATAAACTTAAACAACGAAAAAAAAATACAATAAATTAAATATGTAACCTATTTTTATATATGTGTGTGTATATATATAGATATATAGAACGGAAGTTACCATTTGAGAGACTGATGGGTGTACGTGTACGCGAAAACGATGCAATATTAGTACAAATAAAATAAATAGAATAAAGAACAGAAAATAACCCAGGATTAAAGGCGGGATCGAATCAAGGCACTTTTTCATAACCAATCGCGCCAATTTCACCAATTCATACACGACGTTCGTTCGGCACAGCATGGATTTGATCTCGCTTTAATTATTCTCATGTCATTTATTATTATTTTATTCATTTATTATTACTCTTTTAGGACTAGAAATTACTAAATATTTAATTGTAAACTTATTATTTTTTTTGTTTGTTTGTTATTCATTTATCAATTGATTTTCATTTTCGTTCATTTGAGATGATTGTGTTTGTGTTGTTTGTGCATTCTCGGTTTTGGAATGTAGCCTATTTGCTTGTTTGTTTTTTTTAAATTTTAGAGTTTTGAGCACCAAAAACGGATTGTTTCTCGTAACTAATGAAAACAAAGAAACTCAACGATTGCAATGGTCGAGAGGGTGTGTGTGTATGTGTATAAGGGATGGTAGGGCAAGGTTTTTTTTTGCGCTCTCGATCTCCGACTTTACATTTATTGTTGTGTGTGTGTGTGATTTTTGTGTTTGCGTAAAGTCGGAGTATGAGGGGGGTGGGCGCTGCTATAAGCATTACATAACAATCTACGATGATCTAATTTTACTATATAATAAGAGGAAACAAGAAAAAAAAAGTACAACAAATTAATTAATTTAAAATTAAGAAAGTGGTGGGGAAAATCAGATAGGGACAAGTAGCGATCAACAGTTGATGAAGGATGAATGCCATTGATTAAGCTCCTACTATTTGGTTTCACGTATTGTCAAACTTGTAATATAATTATAATAATAATCGCTTGTTTCTTCTTTTTAAACATAATATTCAAACGCAATGCGAACCAATATCGTCTCGACATAATATTTATATAATACTCCTGATACAATATCATCTACTCCGTTCATTTATAGTTTATATAATATATATATATAGTTTGTAAATGTTATTATGCATTGACGGAATCAATTTGTTCTTTTACAGTAATACATCTTAAAACTAGAATATTTGCCATAATGTTTCATTTTTAATGTTCTGTTTCTTTGTATATTTAAAGCTATATTCTGAATCCCCGTCCATCGACGACATATTATCGTAGTTTAATATTACCTTAGTTTTTAATACAATACAAATCATTGATTTCTCCTCGAACTCTCCGTTTCCATTCTGTTAAACTTCATATAATTACTGGCACTTAAAATTAAGTCAAGTACACTTCCTCCCCTAATTGCAAAGTCTCGGAATTATTCTACAGCTTTCTTCTTTCGAGTCACAATGAATATATATATATAGTATATTACTTCTTGTTTTTTATTTTATATATATATATGTTTCAATATTGATAAATGTACAATTCAGTTGATTTATTATTATTATTTTTAACCGTTTTACTTAGATATCATATATTATTACTTAACAATGTTTCCAAGATCACATATGCCTAATTCACGATTTGCCTTATATTAATTTTATAAAATATCCCCGTTACACTTTCCAAATATAATTTTTTTTTTAATATATTTATACATATATATATATATATATATATTGAACCGATCCTTTTTTTATCACATAATGCCGTGCAGCCGTTAACACTAGTAACAACTAACGCCAACAAAATCAATAAAATAGAATATCGACATACGACGCTTCGTTTACCGGAACGAAGCAAGATTCGGACGCGAAAGAGCTTCTTCCCCAAATAATGTAACCGCGAAATTTAACAGGCACATTGTATATTATATACACGCGCATTTTATCAGCAGCAATTATGTAGTACCGTCAATCCGTGTGGTCTGTGGTCGCGTTCGCGAAATTAATTTAAAACTTATTTGCTATGAATTGATATACATCATACATGTACATATATACGTAGCGTCATTTGTTTCTCTTTTTTTTGGATATAGATACAAATATACATGATTTGTTTATTTTAACTCTTTTGGCAAATCGAAAAACGTAAAACATATTCCTACCTACCTACAACCGAAGAAAAAAATACTACTCAATACAAGCTACCAGCGTTCTAAGTTTGTAAATGTGAGCACTCGAGTACATACTGTAAGTATCTTGGGTATTTTGTACATCGAATAGCGCGCGCGCGCGCGCTCGCGCACGCATTGTGTTTAATTACTAATCATCATAATTATCGATTTCGAAAATTAAGCAGCTCTTTGAATCCCCTCCCTCGTGCTCAGCCGACATGACTGTTGCTTTGCTACTAACTATTGCTACTAGTAAATCAACAGAATGTCGTACTTTCTTAAACACTAAGCGAAATACATGACCTTTTTGGTGTCGGCGTGTACGGTTATCGCTCTAGCCATAGCACCCGGCGTGCGATCCTCAGAAGAACCCGACTGGTGAGATCCCTCACCACTGAAAAAATAGAAATAAACAGAACACGTATTAATATAGATGTAATATATAGAAGATGGAAGAAGTAACATACCTGTCGTGTTCTTTTTCGACGAGGTGATAGCGCGCACGGAATGCAACCAAATGGGCATAATAGGCTGGAGCGGGAATCGACACGGAGCGCGTACACCGAACATAAGTATGGCATAATTGATATGTTAAACATTGCAATTCATCCGAATCTAAATGCGAGTCATCCCACAGGACGTGATAATGTGATGGCCTGGACGTACCCTGCAAAGCAAAGAAGACACACAATTGAAGAAGACCTTGGAAGCCAAAGTGCGATTCGAGTAGAATACCTGAATACCCTGGTGACTGCAAAGGTAAAAATCGAATTCCGTTGGGTGGGTGATGCCCACGTCGACGGTGGTCCCGGCCGGGATGTTACCGCTTTTCCCGCTCTGCTCCTTTTTGTCAGCGCAGAAGAGTCTGGTGTGATGGCGCTTCTGCACCACGATGAACGTGATGCCCGGCTTGTAATCCGATTCCAGTTTAATGCATGCCTCCCTGATAGCTGTTAACTCGTGCTGCAAAAGTTGGACAAATTGTCCTTCGGAAACGCCGTCCCGATATAAAATAATCCTATGGGGTTTGTAACCACCCGTCGATTTGTAAAACATAATTAATAGCTCTCTGCAAAGAAATACATAATACATTAATCAGGATAATTATCAATCAACATATAAAGAAAGTTATTAATATATATTGCAGTTATTACCTGACCATAGAGCTGAGCTCCTGTATTATTTCTTGTCTGTGCTGCTGTACTCTAACTGTTGCTGCATATCGTGATGGATGTGCATCCATTGACCCTACTACAGCTGCTATTGACGGCTTTTTATTATCACCAGCCGGTGGGTGTGTAACATCAGCTCCGAGGAATATGACAGGCTCATTGAATATCTAAATTTAAAATTCAATGTTTTAAAATTCAATCTTTTTATAGAATTATGAAATGTATTTTACCTTGGGTCTGATTGACGGAACCAATATTGAGTTAATGCCGCCCAATTTGACGTTAATTTTCAGGCACAAATTCGAGAGTGTCTGCGGTGATGTCTTGTTCACGTTCTTAGCCTGCACGCATTGCGTGGCCATTCCTAAGACAGTATCTCCGACGCGCTTAACTTCCGCGTAAACAGGAGTTTTTCCAGGCAAGACTACTACGACGAGCTGCAACGATTGAAACGTGGACTTCAAGTATCTAAACATGGGCTCGACCTAACAAAATAATAATAATAAATTAATAAATGTTTTCTTAAGATGTGGGAGGTGATGTACTTGATCTGGACCGGTGGCGTATTTGCAGAAACATGGTTGTCCGATGATCGGCATTCCGGCGTCGTTGCTTATTTTTTGAAGTTGCTGGGTGAAATTTCTGAGAGCGTCCTCGCGCACTGTTCGCTGAGGGGCGAAGCATGCAATTGCCCAAACCCTGATCTCAACGCCCGTGAAAAATTGCTTCCCTCTCATATCCCAAACTCCTTGATTCGGCATCGCTTGTTGCTTGCTCTGAAAAAATTATGCCAGCAACTGGTATATCTTACAAACATTCACTAATGGACACTAACTACTAGCATATAGTAAACAATCATTCTCATAGATAAGAAATAATAAGAAATACAAACGGCTGAGTGCTGGATCGATGCAACATTTAAGTATGTAACTACCACTAATCAGGCAAATAACTAAACCACTCACACGAGTATCACAAGTGAGGTTGTGATCTAAAAACTAGAATAAAAAACAATGAGGGAAACTAACGTGCCAGCCCACCTGTCCGCTTAGGGAAGCGACTCGACCTCCGTACTGTAGCTTCGGCGGCGGCAGAACGCGACCTCTGACCTCCATCATGTTATTCGAGATGGTCAGACCGAACTCCTGCACGTAGATGTCGTTATTGAAGTCGGCCCGCCTCACCAGGTTGTTGATCTCGCGCTCACGATCCGGCGCCGACCGAGCCGTCGCCTTGATCATCGTCGACGTCTGCATATCGGTCAGCTTCTTGATGCACCTCTGTCCTGCCACAATGTTGCACACCTCCAACGGTAGATAAGTATGCTTGTGCTCCTGTCCCACTTGCAAGCATGGCAAGTGCGGATATCTCAGTTTCATCTTGTATTTATCCAAAAAGTATTTGGCTACTGTGCATTCCACCGTCTGACCGTTGTCCAATTGCAAGGGAAAGGATTGCATCTGGGCAGGTCTTCGCGTCACATTGCAAACACTAAACATACGAGTAATTAAAGATACGTTCAATTAAAATTATTAATTTCTAATATTACCGGTATTTTCTCCGCATTGTTCCGCAATGAGTGATTTCAATTTTGAGCCCTTTGATTTCCTTGGTAAACTTGACACGCTGCGAATCGGTCAATGGTTTCCTCTGTTCGTTGATGTCCCTAATATCGAGCACTTCGCACATAAATTCTATAACCGGCTGGGCTTTGTAAAACGCTGTCGCGGACACGTCAATATTCAACATCATCTTCCACTGGCTGGGTCGCACCGATTGATGGAACCCGAACCATACCTCACGACCACCTCCCAGCGGATGGTAGTAACCCTCTGGACTACTAAAGAAACTCCTTCCAACTGGAGTATAGTTCATCGACGGCAAATGCCTCATCACTACGTCCAAAGCAAGGATTGCCTCGTATGGGATCTGGCGAGTTCTACCCTCCAGAGCTTCCTCCAAACCGTACAGTGATACCTGAGCTATCCACTTAATTGACACTCTGAACAACCTATCTTTGCCTTCCCCGGGCAACGTCACTTCTAAATCCTCGCGAGAATTGCCTATCGGCAACGGGTCTCTGGTATACAAATTGTTGCGTCCATCAAAGACAGGCTTCAGTGTGCCGAAGATCTTTCCATACGCGTGTACCATAGTCTCTATTATCTCCCTGTTAACCTAAAACAAGCAAACGTACATTTATTACATGAACATGGATATTTATCAAAATGCTCTATATTCAAATAAGAATCTAGGATCTTTGCTTAAACAAAATGCATTTTGTAAATAATAGAGCGTCAAAATTACTTTTCTGGGACACTTGTCAGGTTGGATGTTGACGTCGTAGTGATGTACGAATCCTCTGGGCATCGTGATCTGGAAGTGGTTGGCCTTCAGGCCAATGGGTCTGCCTTCCCTGCCGAGGTTCGGTCTGCGCGGGCATTGGAAATGTGGAGTTTCTGCGGTTGTTGCAAGTGCACCACCGGCTCCTGTTCCGGTGAGGGCCACCGCCGTGCTCGTGCTTCCACTCGGAGTTGCGCCTCCTGAGGCGAGTGGATCTGTGAAGGTCGTCTGCGTGGTCGGACTTCCGCTCTGCCTCGGAGGGCTTGCCTGCCATGACTCTGTTCAATACACAAATATTCATTTAAAAATCAATTTTAAAAAAGCTACAAATTAATTATCTTCAATACAAATAAACGCTTAAGAGAAACCAATGAAATGGTAAGTATATTAGTATTTAAATTATATTATATATAAATATGAAATATTGCTGAGAGGTCTAGAAACACTGGTATACCCAATAATTTCATGTAGTTACCAATACGCTATGATTAGATTCAATTAACATGTTTAGAAAAATCTGAGGATAAGGCAGTTTCAATGCACCTATTTATAGTTTATCATCTGATAATGAAATAATTGCGGTAACAAAAAAAATAAATAAGTGATTTAGTAAGTGAATTTATGTGAACGACATAATGTTGGACTGATGCGGACCGATTAGATTACGTCTCCCCAACGAATGGGAAAAAAAGCGTAGTTACGCAACAGATATATGTGATCTATGGGGGGATAGAAGAGACGACGACCGATGTCCGGCGCCGTCGAATGCAACGAAGGATGGATCCCCGTGGATCCTTAGGGCGAGTGTTTCTCGGATGCAATGAGGAGTGCAAGTTGATCGATACGTAGAGGCAGACGGGCTCCTCTAGTTCGATGACCTTTTATGCACCACTTGCCGCACATTTGCTTGTCTCCAGATATAACAACATGCAAATTTTTAAACTTAATTTTTAGCAACAAATAAATAAATTTATCCAATACATTTTATGTATTCAAATAACTACACTATGGATTGTCAAACATTGTAGCAATCGTATTCCAAAAATAATAGATACATTAAAAACAAACTACATTACATATGAATTACTAGTGGATCAACTTGTAAAGTATGTGAACGTAACATATGGAAGTTTTCAAAGTAAATTGCTTAGTTTCACACACAAGACTTGGAAAATTAATGACCAGCCTCTTGTGATAAATCAAGAAGTTGCGATTTATAACATAATAAACATGTGTTATTCTATAAATATAAATTAAGAGACCTTTAAAATATAGCAAATGTTTTGAACAACATTCTATTACCAAATGTACACGAGCGACAAAGTGGAAATTAATTGATTTATGGAATGTTTGTTTGTAAAATTTTCGAATAAAACGGAAATACGATAAGTCTAGAAATAACACTATTATAATATGAAGGTCCAATAATTTCAATGAATGTTAAATGAGTTTGCTTCTGATTTTCTTGGCGACGGCTATTTATATATATATGGTCATTAAATAACGAGGCTCATTGCTAATTGAAGTACGCATAAATAGATACTCCGGAGCTTGTGCAATTTATAGTAAATGTTTTTGTTGCACATGAATGAATGCCGATGATTTATTTACTGCCTGCCAGCCTCGTCGTTTCTTTCCCAGCAAACTCGACCGAAGTGTGTGGCGAATTGAAAGTTTCAATGGGAAATAATGATATTAACATTGAACATGTGTGTGCATATTTATTCCGCGAATCAGGTTAACGCATATTTATAAACATATTTCTCTTGATTGGCTAAGCAAACGTATGCAAGATGTAATGTTTGTTTACGGCAATTAGAAATCGAAGCATTAACTTAATTACCAGATAACGATAACCGGAATGTAACAAGTGGGAAAAACGCAAAAGACTAATGTTATTTTCGGAAAATGGGGTTGCCTTGGAGCCCCACGCTTATTTATTTACCTAACTGAAACTGGAAAAACAATATATAGAAAAAAGAAAACAAACGTTTTTCCAGTTTACTATGAATCACGGACGCTTTTTCTCGGAAGGCACAGACGTGCATCGCGTAAGGCAGATCCCAGACACGCCGTTCTGACCTTATTATGAATTCCACAATTACCTTTTTATAGATAGGTTAAGTATCAATAATAGTGGAACGAAAATAGAATCTGTCACATACAGGAGTTTTAAAGAGCCTCGAGACACACAAACAACAGAGAACGAACGCGAAGGATAAATTGTGCATTTCTGCACCAGGAAATCACGCGAATCTACTGAGTAAACGTATTATGCTATTCGGATCCTAGACTCGGCTCGTACGATGTATGTGCGTGCGAGAGAGCATCCAAGTGAGCTATGTGAAATCTCGCTGTACGTGTGTGCCCCAAGTGATAAACAAAAGAATGACTAGGACACGGAGACCCGCAGTTCGTATCTGATCCTGGGGCTCGGGATAACTGGTAACTTACGCCCTCCTGGTTGAGGATACATCTCGGCTTAAGACAAATCCAACACACAAACACGCAAAACACACCACAATTCCTCCGAAAAAAAAATACTGTCTATATCAGTTACAAAGCCTGGCAGACATTTGCAAACTAGGATGTGACGTCACCGAGCGCTACGCCCCCTGCACGATGCTTCCGCAAGTGCGGATCCTCCGACGAAAGCGACATCTAACAACCGAAGGTCGCGTTTCGATACGAATTCAAAAATTGATACACTCTTCGATGATGCGATATTTCTTGGATTTCCAGATGGAAGGTCACATCTCCTCCTATCTGCAAGTGCACTCTCTTGATTGCATAATGGCCATTGTTCTGGTCGCTCACTCGGGGGAGTGATAAGATACGCGCATTCCAAACTTCAGCTCTCTTAAGATTCCTAGCTTCTTCGCCAAGTGATAAAATGAAATCATCTACAATTCAAATACAAATTCAAATCTATTGCTACTTTAAAAAGAGATTTAAGTTAGATCGTAAATTCAGTTCAAATTCAATTTAAATCTTCCACCTTCATGATTATTTAATTATAATTACAAATTTTGAAGTCTTATATAACTGAAAACAATCGTTACGTAAAAAGAAGCAATGCTTATTGCAGATAAATGAAAATTAATCAAATTCTTCATAAAGTTTACTTAATTACATGATCTAATCGAGATCTTGCAAACGTTTGCTCTTAATTTTTTCTCTATTTACAAAATACTTTGTTGTTATTTAGATTTCAATGAGTGTTCTTTTTAATCTCGGAAAAACATTCATGGAGTACTTGTTATCTGCTCGTCCGGCTTATCGGTAAAACTCCTCGATTCAATACCACAACTCTCCGACATCTAATCTGACCTTTTGAGAAATATTAATTTCCAATTATATATTTAGTAATGATAATATTGGAAAGTAAAAAGATGAAACTAATGCAGTTTTTTGTAAATAAATCATTTAGTTAATTGTTTCTAGAGCAAAGATTTGAATTTGCGATGGTGGTGGTGGCGGTGGTGAGTGAGACAATCTTACCAACTGACGGTATATTGGATTGCTGCATGTTGGGATGCGGGGGTGGAGGTGCATGCACTCCCTGTCTGTGAAAGAGTGTCGTCAGGTCGGTGGTGAGTAGCTGCTGAATGCCGGAGGCTTGCATCCGGCTGTCCGCTTCCGCCGCTGACACCGACATCCTAAATTCCTGAAATGAAAATAATTCAATAAATATTCATTCGCAATTGTTGCAAAGCTTCTCTGATTGATGCGAAACCATTCATCCCGATACGTATTTATATATATATGTGTAGTAAACTTGTATGTAAATGACAGTATGGGTGTGTAGAATTAATCGATACGTAAATACAGACTCGAGTTGATTCATAAAAAAAAAGAATACATTGTATTTCCTGTAATTTAAATAAGCTTTAAAACCATATGTGTGACTGTTTTGTAAGCTTACAAACAAAACTCAAGGATTTAATTAGAACTCAATTTATAATCAATGAGTTAGTGATTTTCTATAATCTTCTTGAATAAAATCATTATATTACGTTTATTTAGCATACTTATTTGTATTATATAAGTTAACATTAACATATTTATTTGCAAACAATTTGATATTGAAGCAATTTCAAAAATTAATTTATTGAAATTATAACATTGTCGTACGTTTAAAATCGTTTTTAGGAATCTGATGAAAGCTCTTTTATATGTCAACATTAAATAGACAGTGAATATTTTTTATATTGATTCAATGTATGTTATATCTCTGAGTAAACAATACTGTTATCACGAATTCAAAATAGTTTAAGAGATAAAATGGACTTTTGGCATCATTTTAAATTTAATTTGTCTCAGTTTTGTAGTATGAAAATGTATTAGTTTCTTTCTTAAAACTGTTAAATTGTATATTACAAAATGTGGACAATAAATTCTCAAAAAAAAAAACTGTTTTGTTCTTGGTAGACCAAAAGTCTATTATAGTTAAAATCAATTAAAACCAATGAAAGTATAAAGCAAAAATGTTCATTTGTGTGATGCGAATTTTACTCAAATTTTGTTAAGAATTATGATTTTCAGTAGTCTGAAATATGTTTAATGTTAACTAAATAATTTGTATATTTACTTATAGCAAGTTTAGCTTCAGGTAATTCTCCGTAAACTGAAATTCTCGATTCAGCGAAATTGTAAATATCGATTCGTCGAAATTTCGCATCGTTTTGTGGGTCACGGGACCGTGAAAGCTTCAGCTTTCTCCTTTCTCGGACTTTCGCAGCCTCGGAAAAGGGACATCTTCGAAAGGGGTTGACGATCCCCGATGTCCGAATAGAATAGGTAGGATTCATTAAGGATTATGACTATGGACGATCAAGAGTGTGCTGAATGGAGGAGCACATCCGTGGGCACTGTCATCTTCGTGCGTGAAGAGACGAAAGAAGGATAATTACGCACCGGTGATGAGCGAGGAAGAAGGAGCGCGACAATGGTTCAACGTCACGAAAAATTAAGTAACGCGCAGAATGTTGGATATCCAACCATCATTTCTCTTCTCTTTTTTTTTTCGTAGCCATGGATAATTTCGAGTGTGCCATGTCCTAAGACAACAACAACACGGCGAATTCAAGGTTGTCAGTGTGTTGTCTGCATGCATGCATGCATATATACATAGATGTACGTTGTTTTCTGTATGTATATAAATGCGTGTATATGTATACGTATGTGTATATGTAGTATCCATCAATCTTCTACATTGGTGTTTCGATGCTGGATATATCTACCTACCTAGGTGTATTTCTGCACGAAAATCATTTGACACTCGTCTGGGTTCGCACCACGGGACGCACACACTTCCGTAACGCGGTTTTCGCACCGTTTCCTGCGGCAATTGTATTCGAATCGCGCTCAATTTGCCATATCTTTGTTGCGATATATAGCACTTGTTTTGTATGTCTAGGTCTCTGGATTTGGCTACGCTCGGCGGTCGGACGCATGCGTGCGTCACCGCAAGTTTTCTGTTGCGTCTCCGCATCGCGAACGCTGCCGCGCTTTTCCCGCATTTTCCACGGACCGTTTTCCCACCCAAACACTTATCCTCCACGTACACATTTCCACACAAGTATATAAATAAAAAATCAATCGAAACCTAAAAATGAAACAATGTTATTAATTTGTACCCTGCGAATCCACATTTCTTAATCGTACCAACAATTTTGTAATAAACTGAAATTTTCCTACAGTTTTCAGTTTCATAATCACATGTTAAGATATACATATTTTAACAGGAGATTAAAGTCTAGACTAACAATTGCTAGTAATCATACATTTTTATAAATTTGACCTCAAATTCAAAACTTTTTATTGTTTATAATAATCATTGAATGCTTTTAAAATCCGTTTTAATCAATGTATAAACTATAATTAATATACTTGCGGCAATCAACTATTAATAAACAGCAACAAAAACTACTGAAACCATTGCGAATTATTTCAGTTGAATGAAATTTCTTGTAATAAATTTGATCCAATTATGTAAACTTACTTATTCAAGATTTAAGAATGTTTGAAATTTGTTTTCTATCGTATGGGAATCAAGGATAATGAAATGATAAAGATATTATAGATCAAACAAAGAATTTTAGGAATGTGTTAATAGTTGTTAATGGATGAAAGCGGATGAAAAATTGCGATTTCAAAGTAAAATTTCCTTCGTGTTTTTGGCGGCAAAACGGGGTTACGCAACGGCAAGCTTGTTGCGTTTTGCACGTGTGCAAAATGAATTCGGACGTGTAAAGAGAAACATGAATGTCCGAGTGCCAGCGCACCTCCGAAATCGTCAACGGAACGGAACGAAGTCCTCTTCAAGAAAAGAATCACCACCCTTCGTTCGATACATGCGTAACATCGAAATTGAAAATGGGTAAATTGCAGATGAGGATCGGATCGGACCGCCTCCGCGATCTCTCCCCCATTCAGTACGCCGCCCACGTTCTCTCTCTCTGCACGTAGGGCCCTCCTCTATTCATGCTTTCACCGCCAACTCACATATATTTAGCACTATTGATCCGACGGAGGGAGCGACCTTGAATTTCGCTTGGTCAAAATATACCCTTGCGAGCTGACCTTGAATCCGCTCCGACCCCCAGAGAGATCGATTCAGCAAACACAACGCGCACACATTCACACACATAAAATCAGCCCTGCGAGCAAAGCGCGGGCAGCGGTGGAACAGAAGAAAAATAAATAAATAAACAACGCTCTCATCTTCACTTACGAACTACGCATTTATTAAACGATCCAATAAAAAAAATACGCTTAGAATATGTATATATTCATTCATTTAACTTAGCCTAAATTAGAAGAAGCCCTTGATCGATCAGCGAGCATCGAAAACGATCACTAGAAACCACAAATTAAGGAAAACATCCAGAAGAAAAAAAAGCATCTAACGTAAACAAATTGATACAAATATCCAACCACTATTTGCTCTATAAATACTCAATAAGTCAAGCAAATCATTATGACAATAATTAGTTGGATACACAGAATCAATTTTGCACTCATCACCTTAGAATACAAGAGAAAACAAAATAATAATTTCATCCTACGTAAATAAATATGATTTATCTATAAGTAATTTTAAAAGGATACGCCTCTTTGTCCTCTTCTTGTACATGATACGGTAACCACATTCCCTGCATCGGATAGGATCTCTGGGTCTGATCTCATTCTCATTGTGGCATTCTAAAAGTACATACAATTACTTAGGAAACTTCAACATTACTTCGATATGTTTGCTATTTTTTTTTTCAATAATAACAAAGCAGGCATGAGTATTTTAAGGTTAGATATAAAATTGGAATTGGTGCTCACCACCGCATATATACACCATGGGTGTTTTCGATTCTTTTCCTCCCTCGGACATTTTCCTTCGAGTTTCTCCACACTAATCAACAAAAATAAACTTAATTTGCTTCCAAAATACGAATAAAGTAGTCGTCCTGACAGCAGACGACTTAAAAACCAAGCAATCGTCCTTGTTCAATGATACCAACCTTGCAAACTTTTTATATTCACAAAGACAAAATTTGAAATTCAATTTATTTGAAATTATTTAACGAGACAAAATAACAACTATTATAGATAATTACGGAAATAAATGAGTATTAAATCATATTAAATGAAATTTCAATGAATAATAAAAATGTTGCTGTTTGAAAAACACTTTTACTATAATTTGATATACAAATGATGATGATATTAAAGCTTACTTCTTAAACTATTAATATTCAAATTAAGGCTAACTAAAAAACGATTTCAATTATGTTTAAATGCTATTAAATAATTTGCGTGATTTCTAGTCAAACTCATTCAAAATTAGGTCAGTTTTTATGTGTATGTGTTCAACAAAAACTTGATTAATGTATAATAATTAAAGTAATTGTAATGGTAAAGTAATAAGTAATAAACAATCAAGTAACAGGATTAACTATATCATTATGGTCGATTGTGTTCTAATTGATGTTTCGCATAAAGGGTTTTTTTCTTTCTATCCTTTTAATTGCGTTTCAATTTCGATTCTAATTACTAATTACAAAGTTTGAATAGTGGAAAATGATGATTACTTGTGGATTATTGATTTTTGTTGGGTGCTTGGATGCACTGGATTTTGAAAATCGCGACGGCGGTGAGTGCGATCACAACAAATGCGGGCATTGTTTACAAATGGTGGCGACGACGGCGGGTCGCGAATTCCCCGTTTCATACCAAAGATGACTAAAAGCGAAAAGTCAAGTAATGACAGAGACAAATGGGCAATCTGTGTTGTTTGAATAGAAAGAGCCGAAAGTAAGTGCTAACCACTATATAATCGCAGAGCATAGATTGCAAGATGTGTGTGTGTGTGGTTTTTTTTGTATTGTTTTGCAGGAAGATCGTCCTACTTCTGCTTGGTCTGGACAATGCGGGTAAAACTGTGGCGGTGAAGAACCTGAGCAGAGAACCGTTGGACGCGGTCGTTCCAACCGTCGGATTCTCGGTGATCACTTTGACCTATCTGAACTACGACGTAAAGGTCTACGACCTAGGTGGAAGGCCGGACATACGCGACATTTGGGAGCAATACTTTGTCGATGTAGTAAAATCAATTATTAAGTGTTTTTGCTATTGTCAAGTAATTGTGTATGCTTTTGCAGGCGCACGGAGTCATTTTCGTAATAGATTCAAGCGATTACGAGAGGTTGAATGAAGCGCAGGAATCGCTTACCAAAGTGATCTCGCACGAGAAGATGCGTGGGAAACCGCTGCTCGTGTTGGCCAACAAGCAGGACCACGAGAACGCTTTGGATGATATAGATCTGATAGAGAAATTGCAGCTGGAGATGTTGGTGAACGCATGCGAGAGTCCGGCGATGGTCGAGACCTGCTCCGCCTCGGAAGTTCACGCCAAATCCAAGATTGATCCCGGCATCAAAAAGGGGTACAGTTGGTTGATCAATTACATAATTAGGGAATACGACACGTTGAATGATCGCGTGGAATACGATATGGACGTGCAGAATGAGCTGCTAAGAAAGGAACGCGAGGCTAAGATCGAGCGATTGAGACTGCTGAACGAGCAGGAGGCACGCAGGACAGTCGAAGATACTGCCAAGCAAATCAATGGGTTGCCTTTGAGCGATGTCTTCGTGATCAAAAACAACAAGTTCAAGCACAGCGATAGCGACACCAGCGAGTCGAATGAGTCTTTGGCGCACGTCTATTACGGAACAATACAGCAGGAGGTTGTACCGGAGGAGACGAGACCCAAGTCCGCTACGAACATAGTGAGGCAACATTTGGCGTTGGAGAACGGCCATGCGAAGGAGCGTTTCAACTTTAAGATGGCAAATAAGGTGGCGCCTGTCCATTTGGAAATCAAGAAACCTAGAAGTGCGACCGAGAGAAAGTCGGAGAGCAGTCAGCAGGATAGAAGAAATTTGAAGTCGGCGGGTGATTCCATTTTCGTTGTGACCAATGTGCCTAAATTGTCGTTGCCCGTTGAGAATGGGTCTGGTGACATACGCGTTTTCACAGCCACCCTGCCGGGTAACGTCCTACCCCCGATATCCTCCAAGAACAGAAACGTCCGATACAGCGAGATCAATCACATCTAAACGATTATTTTCTACATATACTTAATAATATTTTCTATGCGATTTGTAGTGAATTTATCTAATTTACAATAAATGAAACAATATTTAAATGAATTTTTTGATAAGCGTTACATACATAAATGTATCTGAATTATGAGCGGAAGTGGAGATCTTTAGGGAAAACAAACAAGACATGATTATTTAATACATACACATTTTATGCCATCTCTCATACATTCATGTAATAAAAACAGAAAGGAACTAAATAGATCACTAGATTAGATGCACTTAAAAATTCTTAAAAATTGTTTAAATCAATTAATTACTGTTTATGTTATTACGATTATGTACAACTTAAATATGTTATAATTTTTCATATAGAATTATTTTAAAAGTGAAAAAGTTTATAGGAAAAATGCCCTTCTTATAACCAGCAGCAGAATCATCGCGAGGATTACCCAGATTATCGTGGACCAGAACTTATCCCTTCGAAATAATCAAATCCATCAATCATTCATTCGAAACTGTATTTAGTAAATGTTACCTGTTCACGCTTCTGATGGACGCTTGGAGTAAGCTGTCCGTTGCGCTAGGAGCAACGCTCACAGCAGAAGCCGAACCATCGACGACGTTGCGCTGCCTGAGAGTACTTTGATCACCTGTCGGTGAAGAGACCGGCTCTTCCAGCTTCTCGTCCTCCTTCGCTTTGCTCTCTCCACCCTCTTTCTTAGCGGAATCCTCCTCAGCCTACAAAAAATGCAATCACACAGAGTGATAACAGCATATCTCTCAATCGCCGGTCCACCTTCAAGTTGATTTCTTTGATCAACGTTGACTCCTCCTGTGTGGGATTGGTCGGGGGCGGAGCCTGCAGCAGCTTTTGCGAGATGTTGCCGCACGAGCTACAGTTCCAATCCAGCGACTTGGTCGCGAGATTCTTGCGCTCTTGAGGGGAGTAGTCCAAAGAACCTATGGTACCTGCTGGAGATGTTGGCATGAAGGCTATGAGAGCTAAAAGAGCTGTTCGTATTGACCAAGAGGGCTGCCAGCTCTCAGGATGATGGCCAGAAATTGACAGGCATATTTTCTTGTTAATTTCAAATCTAAAAAAGAAAAGAACAACACCCAAGTTCAATGTACACTCGTATTCGATTCCACTGAATTTAGCCTAAAATAACCTTCCATTGGGAGTCAAGAGGATAATGTTTGGTGGTTGCATCGGATACTGGGTGGGTAACAGAATCCTTCCGTGGTAATATCCACCTTCGAATTCTGTGGCTGGAGGACCCCTGACAGTGAAGTGCCACTCAAAGAGGTTGTCTTCCAATGGACTGGCAAAATACTCCTCTGTGGGTTCGGCCAATTCTTTGGCCTCCCTCATCAGGCGCTTAACACCTACATATCAAACCAAAAAGGAGGAAACTCAGACAAAGCACAACAACAAAAAATAATCCCAGTGCATTGCTCACCTGGACTTTTCAAGTTGTACTGGGTTTCAAAAGACATGACTGCAGTTGATCAAGGTGAGTATGGTTTGATACTGAAATTTGGTGGAATGCAATGGAATGACTGTTGATTGGTAATTATTAAATATTACAAAACAGCAAATAAACAAATGACACGCAATTCTCACGTCAAAATTGCAATTCTTGACAGGTAGAACGAACGAGCTGCAAAGCGGTAAACTCAAAATGCAAAATGTAGGCAACTTAATCAACATAACATAACATTTTTGACCTAGAAATGCCCAATCGGAAAGATTATTAACAACTCAATTACCGTACTATAAGTAATAGCTACTTTCCATTTATAATTTTCACATCATATAATTATCATAAATGTAAACTGTTGGCAAATATTGTAGATTTATTTGTATTTTAGATAATAAGTGAGACATGAACGTTATGTAAATTTTATTGTAGATAATATTGAAATAAAACAACTTTAAATGATTATATATATTTATTGCATGTGGTAAAAAAAATAAAATTAGAAAATAATAAATACATGGAAATTATTTTATTCAAAATTTTAAAAATAACAATGTTTTTTTTTTGTTGATCAATAATGCAAAATCTGTACACACAACAAAATCGTAATTGAAATACATTTTGTTCATTCATAAGCCTCAAAATTTTACATTTGCTTCCTGTTTTATTAAGATGTAAACTTTTCTTTTCACAACGTTCCCTTTTTTTGTAGTATTTCTTATAAAAAAGTAGAAATTATGTCTATCTATTGTGTTTTATATATATTATATTTATATATTGGGCAGTCGCTTTGCAAATGAAAATGTTGATTTTTCCTTCCTGTTGCTTTTCGATCGTTTAAATAAATGTATCAACAAAATAATATTAATAATAATGGACGTAAAACAATAAAAACGAAAAATGTAATCATAATTTATTTGAAATTTATTTCGCCTTTGCAGCGGCTGGGGCCGAGCGATTCCTAAGGTTCTTGTTTGTGTTTTGGTCCACTTCGGGCAAGTCCGATTCCTCTACGACTTTCTTAGCTGAAACGGCAATACATTTGAGAATTCGAAACGCGTTGCTTTTAGTAATGTTTTTCACCCTTCTTGGGCTTCTCCTTCTTCTGGGGCTTGACCTTCTGGACGGTGTTGAAGGCCCTCGCTTCGCGAACCTTCTCCAATTCCTTGCCGATGACGACGGCGGTCAAGTAGATCTGGAGCACGAGGATGGCTCCGAGCATGGCCAATCTGATGATCGGGGTATTGAAATATCCGGTGGAAACGTCCAAATCCCTCTGTTCCATTTGAGCGAAGCCGAACCACAAGCTCAGGACGGCGATCACGATGCTGACGATGCGGCTCAAGATCATGACGCAGTTGCTCAATGTTCTTGTAACTAAAGTTGTTTATTAATTGATTTGCTACTTTAGTTTTAAAAAAAATATTAATCTGATCTTACTCTTGCTGAATTTCTCATCCTTGTCAACGGTTTGCACGAGCTGCGCGATGTGGATCATCAATTCGGAGCTGAAGTGCTGAACGAGAAGGCACACCAACAACCTATTGAAGTTGAGGAAGTACGGTATGGCAATGATGACGAGGGCGGCCAACGACTGGGCGGCTTTGCCGACGTATTCCTCTTTCTTGGTGCGTTGGAAGTACAACTCTGGGATTTCGTGCAAGCTGTAGGCGATTTGAATGATGAGGAACAGCTTCATCATGAACGACATTGGTGATGGGTAGTCTGTCCAGATGGTCGAAATCTAAACATAAATATCATCAAGAAATGCAAATTATTAATACATATTGGTTACTGAAAACTGATTATTTGGATCTCTGCCAACTTGGAGATTTTTTTTATAAATCCCCACATTTTAATTTCAAGAATGTCCAATAAGAAACAGTTAGAATTGAATTACTTAAGAGAATTTAAGAATAATAGTATTCAAATATGACCTACATTTAATTATATATATAGAAAATTTAAACATATGCCAGAAATGAAACATAAGTTATATATAAATCTGTTGCACTTACATTGGGGAACATTTTCTCCCTGATGATGATATCATAGCCCCACACAGTTGAGATTAAATAAAAGATGGCTAATTGACCACTGGTGTTGAAAACAGCCAACTTTGATTTAGATAAATGCAGCCTCTTGGAGATTTTCTATAAATACCAAAACATTTGTGTCGTGATTGTAAATTTTCATGTGAAAATTAGTAAAAGTCACTTACATCAATGACATATTCTTGGATGATGGCATGGATTACAATGCAGATGAGAGAGTAGAAGAAGATCCCGGCCCAATCCCTGATGCCAGATGTGTACAGTGGTATTTCCCCAGCCTCTGTGACATTGTGCTGAAGTGCAATGAACACTGAGGCAATTGGTGTCGTGGACTGAAAACATATGTTACATTAGCACTGCAATTGTAGAATTGAACACTTTTCATTCATCATCTGCCTGAATTCCAGCTGGATCTGACTTGGCGTCTAACCTACAAGTTGGTCACATATGTCAGGAATCCAGGCAGCTGTGGATGTGTGTCAGATGAGA